CGCTGGCGCAGGCAGACTCGTTCAGCAGAAAAGACAGGTTTTAGAAGTCATTCAGCCAAGATCGCTTTCCCAGGACTGAACTGTTGTAGCCCAAAGCTGTCATACGGGGCTCTGGAGACTTCCGCAGTGGGCAACCAGTGATGCCACGATCGCTAAGTTCTTAGCGTGCATGTTGGTGACAGAACTGTTCGCAGCCAGACCAGGCCAAGTTTCTCATCAGCTGCCCTGGAAAACAAGTGAGGCAAATGTCCACCATGCCGTGCTGAGACAAGCAAAGCAAACCTCATTTCATGCTAGTTGTTATTACTGCTACTGATGCTGAAGATGAAGTAGATCCAACTTGACCAAGCGCCACGCTGCAGCACCCAGCCCCAGCACAGCACAGCCACAGCCATCAGCTGCACGTAACGTGCCCCTGTGCCCAGGAACTGACCGCACAAATTAACCCCATGCAGTGTTTCAGCATACCCAAGCATCGCGTTGCTCTGTGAGACAAAGCCTGGAATTGCACTTTGCCCTCTGAAGTGCAGCAGGGCTGAGCTCAGCAGGCTGAGGGCAGCACTGACCTGTAGTGAGGAGCGGGCAGCTGCTGGATGACGTCCCGCATTCTGACCAGCCGCTCCTCCTCTGTAGCGGCAACAACAGAATCCTGGAAAAGTGTAGAAAGGGATTTAGACAGGAAATAGGCAAGATACATGACTTAGGGTCGGTAACCCTGGGCACAGCGAGCTGCTGATCAGCATCCAAGCACATTTTATACCTTCCAATTGGCCACTGGATATCACAGCGGCTCGCAGCTGGTGTCACCAAGTCCGAGGACTCCAAGCAGCGGGCCGCTTTACAGCCAGGTTGGGCAGCTCACCACCTAGCAGTGGGCATTTATCTCAGGTAATAATTCCGTTACCGTTGTAGAAATACTTGGGCAATAGAAAAAACAAACAACGTAGGAATTCTCGCAAGCATCGAGAAAATGGAAATAAACACATCCTGAGGCCAAAAGAAGTGGCGTAGGTAAAATGCAGGACGTGGCAAAAACATGCGAGTAAACCGCATGGGGCAAACGGATATCTCTTTCTTTAAATAAAATATAAAGACTGAATGGCATTATTTCGCTCTCACCTTTCGGAAGTGGCAACAGATCCAAAACGTTTCCACTCGCGTCCGAGCACTCGCGCGTCTCCGCGAATGCCGCTAGCAGCCTCCAGCAGCGGTCTCCTTTTTTCTCTGTTGCAAGGAAAGGGCGACAGCCGCCGGCTGCTTTTCTCCGAGTAGCGGGCTCTTCTGCGCTCGTAGGAAAGGCGCGGATTGGAATTGGATTCGTTTAAAAATAAGCAGAATGCTCTGCGCCTGGAATGAAGGTTGTCTCCATGACTTTCGATAGAGAGACATTTCATGGTAGTGAGTTTAACGCTGGCTTCATGTCTGCAATCTGTGAAGATAAGAGTCGAAGGTATTACCATCTGTAAAGAGGCAGGGGCCTAACGCTAGCAGCCTCCAGCAGCGGTCTCCTTTTTTCTCTGTCGCCAGGAAAGGGCGTCCGAGCTCGCGTCCGAGCAATCACGCTTCTCCCGAATGCCGCTTGCAGCCTCCAGCAGCGGTCTCGTTTTTTCTCGTTCGCCGGGATTCGGCGACTGCCACCGGCTGCTTTTCTACAAGTAGTGGGCTCTTTTGTGCACGTAGCAAAGGAGCGGATTGGAATTGGATTCGTTTAAAAATAGGCAGAATGCTCTGCGCCTAGCATGAAGGTTGTGTCTTCATGACTTTCGTTCGAGAGACCTTTCGTGGTAGTGAGTTTATCCCTGGCTTCAAGTCTGCAAACTGTGACGATAAGCGTCGGAGGGATAACAATCTGTAAAGAGGGAAGGGGCATAACATGGAGCACAGATGTTGCGCTATTTGGGAGCACATTCGAAAAAGTGGGAGCGCTCAAATCTGCTCTGCGGTTTAAAAAACACCTTTACGCAGGTCCGAGGAAACAAGCAGAATTCGCAAGTTCTCGTCGTCGGAATGGCACTACTACGCTCTCCAGGTTCGAATGCGGCAATAGCGAGAACCGCTCCAAAACGTTTGCACTCGCGTCCGAGCAATCGCGCGTCTCCGCGAATGCCGCTTGCATCCTCCAGTAGCTGTTTCCTTTTTTCACGGTCGCCAGGAAAGTGCAACAGCCGCCGGCTGCTTTTCTACAAGTAGCGGGCTCTTCTGTGCTAGTAGGAAAGGAGCGGATTGGAATTCGATTCTTTTAAAAATAAGCAGAACGCTCTGCGCCAGGCATGAAGGTTGTCTCCATGACATTCGTTCGAGAGACATTTCGTGGTAGTGAGTTTAACGCTGGCTTCATGTCTGCAATCTGTGAAGATAAGAGTCGAAGGTATTACCATCTGTAAAGAGGCAGGGGCCTAACGCTAGCAGCCTCCAGCAGCGGTCTCGTTTTTTCTCGGACGCCGGAATTCGGCGACTGCCACCGGCTGCTTTTCTACAAGTAGCGGGCTCTTTTGTGCACGAAGGAAAGGCGCGGATTGGAATTGGATTCGTTTAAAAATAAGCAGAATGCACTGCGCCTGGAATGAAGGTAGTCTCCATGACATTCGTTCGAGAGACATTTCGTGGTAGTGAATTTATCGCTGGCTTCATGTCTGTAATCTGGGACGATAAGAGTCGAAGGTATTACCATCTGTAAAGAGGGAAGGGGCATAACGTGGAGCGAGAGATGTTGTGCTGTTTGGGAGCACATTCGAAAAAGTCGGGAGCGCTGAAATCTGCTCTACGGAGAAAAAAACACCTTTACGCAGGTCCGAGGAAACAAGCAGAATTCGCAAGTTCTCGTCGTCGGAATGGCACTACTACGCTCTCCAGGTTCGAAAGCGGCAATAGAGAGAACCGCTCCGCAGCGCTTGCACTCGCGTCAGAGCAATCGCGCTTCTCCCCGAATGCCGATTGCAACCTCCAGCAGCGGTCTCCTTTTTTCTCGTTCGCCGGGAATGGGCGACTGCCGCCGGCTTCGTTTCTACAAGAAGCGGGCTCTTCTGTGCACGTACGAAAAGATCTGATTGAAATTCGATTCGTTTAAGAATAAGCAGAATGTTCGAGGCCTGGCATGAAGGTTGCGCCCATGCCTGTCGGTCCAGCCATAATTCGTGATAGTTGTCTTCTCTGTGGCTAAACGACTGCATTATGTGACGACAAGAGTCGACAGCATAAGCCTCTCAGAAGAGCACCAGGGAAATACGAGCAGCGACAGATGCTGTGCTGTTTGGGAGCGCATTCGAAAAAAGACTCGAGGGATATTTCCAGAAGTGCGGACAGGAAAAAACGCGGTCGAACGGATCGCGGCAGGCAGAATTGGCACGTTCTTGGCATCGGAATGGCACTACTACCCTCTCCAGGTACGAAGGCGGCAATAGCGAGAACCGCTCCAAAACGTTTGCACTCGCGTCCGAGCAATCACGCTTCTCCCGAATGCCGCTTGCAGCCTCCAGCAGCGGTCTCGTTTTTTCTCGTTCGCCGGGATTCGGCGACTGCCACCGGCTGCTTTTCTACAAGTAGCGGGCTCTTCTGTGCACGTACGAAAAGACCTGATTGAAATTCGATTCGTTTAAGAATAAGCAGAATGTTCGAGGCCTGGCATGAAGGTTGCGCCCATGCCTGTCGGTCCAGCCATAATTCGTGATAGTTGTCTTCTCCGTGGCTAAACGACTGCATTATGTGACGACAAGAGTCGACAGCATAAGCCTCTCAGAAGAGCACCAGGGAAATACGAGCAGCGACAGATGCTGTGCTGTTTGGGAGCGCATTCGAAAAAAGACTCGAGGGATGCTTCCAGAAGTGCGGAAATGAAAAAACGCGGTCGACCGGATCGCGGCAGGTAGAATTGGCACGTTCTTGGCATCGGAATGGCACTACTACGCTCTCCAGGTTCGAAGGCGGCAATAGCGAGAACCGCTCCGGAGCGTTTGCACTCGCGTCCGAGCAATCACGCTTCTCCCGAATGCCGCTTGCAGCCTCCTGCAGCGGTCTCGTTTTTCTCGTTCGCCAGGAAAGGGCGACTGCCACCGGCTGCTTTTCTACAAGTAGCGGGCTCTTCTGTGCACGTAGGAAAGGAGCGGATTGGAATTGGATTCGTTTAAAAATAAGCAGAATGCTCTGCTCCTGGCATGAAGGTTGTCTCCATGACTTTCATTCGAGAGACATTTCGTGGTAGTGAGTTTATCCCTGGCTTCATGTCTGCAAACTGTGACGATAAGAGTCGAAGGTATTACCATCTGTAAAGAGGGCAGGGGCATAACGTGGAGCGAGAGATGTTGTGCTGTTTGGGAGCGCATTCGAAAAAGTGGGAGCGCTGTAATCTGCTCTGCGGTGAAAAAACACCATCAGGCAGGTCCGATGAAGCAAGCAGAATTCGCACGTTCTTGGCATCTGAACGGCACAACTACGCTCTCCAGGTTCGAAAGCGGCAATAGCGAGAACCGCTCCAAAACGTTTGCACTCGCGTCCGAGCAATAGCTATTCTCCCCGAATGCCGCTTGCAACACCCAGCAGCGGTCTCGTTTTTTCTCGGTCGCCGGGAAAGGGCGACTGCCGCCGGCTGCTTTTCTGCAAGTAGCCCGCTCTTCTGTGCAGGTAGGAAAGGAGCGGATTGCAATACGCTTCGTTTAATATTAATCACAGTGCTCGACGCCAGGCATGCAGATTACGTCCACGCTATCTCTCCAGCGACAATCCGTGGTAGTTGCCTTCTCCGTGGCTAAACGTCTGCATTATGTGACGACAAGAGTCGAAAGGATACGCCTCTCAGAAGAGCACCAGGGAAATACGAGCAGAGACAGATGCTGTGCTGTTTGAACCTGCCATTTAATGATAGCAAAAAGAAAAAAAAAGAAGAGAGACAGAATAAAAGTGTAGCAAATGCTATGGAAGCCAAAAGAAATCAAACCTACCTTTTCTTAAGAGCAGCAGGTGGCTCTGGCTTCCCATCAGCACTGGGCAGAGCTGAGCATGGGGAAAGGAACAACACCCGGTGACAGCAAAGGGAGCACGAGGGACAAGCGACACCAAGCCCCAAAGGACCTGAGCGAGCGTGTGAAACAGGAGACGGCAGGGATCCACGTACCTTGGCGCAGAGCCTCAGGAGCGGACACTGGCATCCACCAGCGGCTGTGCTTTCCTGCTGCATCCAACAAAGTCTTTCTCGCAGTCCTCACGCTGCTTAGAAGAGCAAGCCGTGTCCGGAACCTCGAGCAGAACAGAATGCGACGAGCAAGGAGCTGGGCATCGATCTCAAGGCCAACAAGTCGGTCCCTCCCAAACCTCACTGCTCACCCAACCTCACTGACAGCAGAAGCCCAGGCACACATCTGAGCCCTGCCATTCCCAGCCCTTAAATGAGCTCAGGCTGGGCTCTGGCTCCACCCAGTCCCACCCCCGGCTTCATCGCACCCACCTGTGTCTCCACCCTGCTGCTGCCATCCTGCACCAGCTTGTCCATCATTCCTTCACTCTCTTCTGTAACAGGATGAGGGGGAAGAAAGGAGAGAGAGAGCAAAGAGGAAAAAGGGAATAGGGGACAGCAGAGAAAAAAAAAAGGGGGGGGATGGGGAAAAAAGGGGAAAAATGGGGTACAGGGACAGAAGAAAGGGGACGTGAGGTGGGGGGGAAGCGGAGCTGGGGATGAAGAAGAGGAAAGGGGAAAAAAGAACAGGGGAATGTGAAGAGAAATAAGGATGGGGGGAGAAAAAGGGGTCCAAGAGTGCAAGAAGAGATGAGGGAAGGCGGGGAAAAGGCGGGATAGCAGGAAGTGCATGAGAAGGACAAAAGGAAAAACGAGGGACGAAAAAAAGGAAAAGGGGGGCAAGGGAGGAAAAAGGGAAAAGTGGGACGAATTAGGAAAACAGGAAAAGAGGGAGGAGGGTGGAATCAGGGCCGTCGCACTCAGCAGCGCTGTCCTGCTGCTGTGCCATTAATTTCTCTGGGATCCTGTACCCGTGGATCGGTGCCACCTGCCTTCGGGAATGGCAAAACTGGAGCCTTAGGGGGGCGACACAGAACCCCAAAAGACCACTCTTCACCAAGGTTTGGATTACAGCCTTATCAGAGGCTATAAGAGGCTGGTGGAGGTGGGACGGCGCTGTCGATAACCAATGAGAGAGTGGCTGGGGCGGGACAGCGATGCCGATGACCAATGAGAGGCACACGGGGGCGGCACAGTGCTGTCGATGACCAATGAGTGGCACACAGGGGCGGGATGCTTCCGCCGATGACCAATAAGACGCTGGCAGGGGCGGAACTCTGCTACGGATGACCAATGAGACGCTGGCAGGGGAGGGACTGTGCCGCCGATGACCAATAAGATGCTGGCAAGGGCGGGACAGCACTGCCGATGACCAATGAGAGACTGGCAAGGGCAGAAAGGCTTTGCCAATGGCCAATAAGACACTGGTGGGGTCGAGACTGCACTGCCGATGACCAATAATACAGTGGCGGAGGCGGGACGGCGTTGCCATTGACAAATGAGAGTCTGGCGCGTATGGGACAGTGCTGCCAATGACCAACGAGAGGCTGGTGAGGGCGGGACGGCGCTTCCACTGACCAATGATAGGCTGGCAGGGGCGGGATGGCGTGGCTGATGATCAATGAGAGGCTCATAACGGTGGGACGGTGCTGCCTGTGGCCAATGAGAGGCTGGTCTGACCAACTGCTCTGCGTAGAGGAGAATCGGAATTGGATTCAGGCACGAGGCCCTGAGACAGAACTGTGCCCTGTAAGGGAAAACCACAGGTGAGAGCCAGGATCAGAAAGCAGCTGCACAGCCACTGCAGGTCGGGAGGTGCTGTGTTTGTACTCAGATCTGCTTATCCTAGCCACTGTAAGAAGAGCAGCTCAAATGATGGTGACATAACGATGGTGACAGTTTTCTTCTTGTCACATTTGGGCTTGCAAAAGGGTGCCAGATTCTAACCTAGCCCAGGATTCTGCTGTCCCCTTGCAGTAAAAGCATATTTCAAAAGACTTGGAGAAGGCCTACACTTGATTCAGGTGTCTGATCAAGATAAAGCTAGTAGAGGAAGACACTCACCTGCTCCATTTGCAATGTCAGGTCTAGATTTGGAGCAGTAGAGGATGTCTGTGTGGTCCATGATGAATTCCACCACGGCCGACTGCGTCTGCAATTCCGTGCAGGCAACTCTCCCGCTGGCGCAGGCAGACTCGTTCAGCAGAAAAGACAGGTTTTAGAAGTCATTCAGCCAAGATCGCTTTCCCAGGACTGAACTGTTGTAGCCCAAAGCTGTCATACGGGGCTCTGGAGACTTCCGCAGTGGGCAACCAGTGATGCCACGATCGCTAAGTTCTTAGCGTGCATGTTGGTGACAGAACTGTTCGCAGCCAGACCAGGCCAAGTTTCTCATCAGCTGCCCTGGAAAACAAGTGAGGCAAATGTCCACCATGCCGTGCTGAGACAAGCAAAGCAAACCTCATTTCATGCTAGTTGTTATTACTGCTACTGATGCTGAAGATGAAGTAGATCCAACTTGACCAAGCGCCACGCTGCAGCACCCAGCCCCAGCACAGCACAGCCACAGCCATCAGCTGCACGTAACGTGCCCCTGTGCCCAGGAACTGACCGCACAAATTAACCCCATGCAGTGTTTCAGCATACCCAAGCATCGCGTTGCTCTGTGAGACAAAGCCTGGAATTGCACTTTGCCCTCTGAAGTGCAGCAGGGCTGAGCTCAGCAGGCTGAGGGCAGCACTGACCTGTAGTGAGGAGCGGGCAGCTGCTGGATGACGTCCCGCATTCTGACCAGCCGCTCCTCCTCTGTAGCGGCAACAACAGAATCCTGGAAAAGTGTAGAAAGGGATTTAGACAGGAAATAGGCAAGATACATGACTTAGGGTCGGTAACCCTGGGCACAGCGAGCTGCTGATCAGCATCCAAGCACATTTTATACCTTCCAATTGGCCACTGGATATCACAGCGGCTCGCAGCTGGTGTCACCAAGTCCGAGGACTCCAAGCAGCGGGCCGCTTTACAGCCAGGTTGGGCAGCTCACCACCTAGCAGTGGGCATTTATCTCAGGTAATAATTCCGTTACCGTTGTAGAAATACTTGGGCAATAGAAAAAACAAACAACGTAGGAATTCTCGCAAGCATCGAGAAAATGGAAATAAACACATCCTGAGGCCAAAAGAAGTGGCGTAGGTAAAATGCAGGACGTGGCAAAAACATGCGAGTAAACCGCATGGGGCAAACGGATATCTCTTTCTTTAAATAAAATATAAAGACTGAATGGCATTATTTCGCTCTCACCTTTCGGAAGTGGCAACAGATCCAAAACGTTTCCACTCGCGTCCGAGCACTCGCGCGTCTCCGCGAATGCCGCTAGCAGCCTCCAGCAGCGGTCTCCTTTTTTCTCTGTTGCAAGGAAAGGGCGACAGCCGCCGGCTGCTTTTCTCCGAGTAGCGGGCTCTTCTGCGCTCGTAGGAAAGGCGCGGATTGGAATTGGATTCGTTTAAAAATAAGCAGAATGCTCTGCGCCTGGAATGAAGGTTGTCTCCATGACTTTCGATAGAGAGACATTTCATGGTAGTGAGTTTAACGCTGGCTTCATGTCTGCAATCTGTGAAGATAAGAGTCGAAGGTATTACCATCTGTAAAGAGGCAGGGGCCTAACGCTAGCAGCCTCCAGCAGCGGTCTCCTTTTTTCTCTGTCGCCAGGAAAGGGCGTCCGAGCTCGCGTCCGAGCAATCACGCTTCTCCCGAATGCCGCTTGCAGCCTCCAGCAGCGGTCTCGTTTTTTCTCGTTCGCCGGGATTCGGCGACTGCCACCGGCTGCTTTTCTACAAGTAGCGGGCTCTTTTGTGCACGTAGCAAAGGAGCGGATTGGAATTGGATTCGTTTAAAAATAGGCAGAATGCTCTGCGCCTAGCATGAAGGTTGTGTCTTCATGACTTTCGTTCGAGAGACCTTTCGTGGTAGTGAGTTTATCGCTGGCTTCAAGTCTGCAAACTGTGACGATAAGCGTCGGAGGGATAACAATCTGTAAAGAGGGAAGGGGCATAACATGGAGCACAGATGTTGCGCTATTTGGGAGCACATTCGAAAAAGTGGGAGCGCTCAAATCTGCTCTGCGGTTTAAAAAACACCTTTACGCAGGTCCGAGGAAACAAGCAGAATTCGCAAGTTCTCGTCGTCGGAATGGCACTACTACGCTCTCCAGGTTCGAATGCGGCAATAGCGAGAACCGCTCCAAAACGTTTGCACTCGCGTCCGAGCAATCGCGCGTCTCCGCGAATGCCGCTTGCATCCTCCAGTAGCTGTTTCCTTTTTTCACGGTCGCCAGGAAAGTGCAACAGCCGCCGGCTGCTTTTCTACAAGTAGCGGGCTCTTCTGTGCTAGTAGGAAAGGAGCGGATTGGAATTCGATTCTTTTAAAAATAAGCAGAACGCTCTGCGCCAGGCATGAAGGTTGTCTCCATGACATTCGTTCGAGAGACATTTCGTGGTAGTGAGTTTAACGCTGGCTTCATGTCTGCAATCTGTGAAGATAAGAGTCGAAGGTATTACCATCTGTAAAGAGGCAGGGGCCTAACGCTAGCAGCCTCCAGCAGCGGTCTCGTTTTTTCTCGGACGCCGGAATTCGGCGACTGCCACCGGCTGCTTTTCTACAAGTAGCGGGCTCTTTTGTGCACGAAGGAAAGGCGCGGATTGGAATTGGATTCGTTTAAAAATAAGCAGAATGCACTGCGCCTGGAATGAAGGTAGTCTCCATGACATTCGTTCGAGAGACATTTCGTGGTAGTGAATTTATCGCTGGCTTCATGTCTGTAATCTGGGACGATAAGAGTCGAAGGTATTACCATCTGTAAAGAGGGAAGGGGCATAACGTGGAGCGAGAGATGTTGTGCTGTTTGGGAGCACATTCGAAAAAGTCGGGAGCGCTGAAATCTGCTCTACGGAGAAAAAAACACCTTTACGCAGGTCCGAGGAAACAAGCAGAATTCGCAAGTTCTCGTCGTCGGAATGGCACTACTACGCTCTCCAGGTTCGAAAGCGGCAATAGAGAGAACCGCTCCGCAGCGCTTGCACTCGCGTCAGAGCAATCGCGCTTCTCCCCGAATGCCGATTGCAACCTCCAGCAGCGGTCTCCTTTTTTCTCGTTCGCCGGGAATGGGCGACTGCCGCCGGCTTCGTTTCTACAAGAAGCGGGCTCTTCTGTGCACGTACGAAAAGATCTGATTGAAATTCGATTCGTTTAAGAATAAGCAGAATGTTCGAGGCCTGGCATGAAGGTTGCGCCCATGCCTGTCGGTCCAGCCATAATTCGTGATAGTTGTCTTCTCTGTGGCTAAACGACTGCATTATGTGACGACAAGAGTCGACAGCATAAGCCTCTCAGAAGAGCACCAGGGAAATACGAGCAGCGACAGATGCTGTGCTGTTTGGGAGCGCATTCGAAAAAAGACTCGAGGGATATTTCCAGAAGTGCGGACAGGAAAAAACGCGGTCGAACGGATCGCGGCAGGCAGAATTGGCACGTTCTTGGCATCGGAATGGCACTACTACCCTCTCCAGGTACGAAGGCGGCAATAGCGAGAACCGCTCCGGAGCGTTTGCACTCGCGTCCGAGCAATCACGCTTCTCCCGAATGCCGCTTGCAGCCTCCAGCAGCGGTCTCGTTTTTTCTCGTTCGCCGGGATTCGGCGACTGCCACCGGCTGCTTTTCTACAAGTAGCGGGCTCTTCTGTGCACGTACGAAAAGACCTGATTGAAATTCGATTCGTTTAAGAATAAGCAGAATGTTCGAGGCCTGGCATGAAGGTTGCGCCCATGCCTGTCGGTCCAGCCATAATTCGTGATAGTTGTCTTCTCCGTGGCTAAACGACTGCATTATGTGACGACAAGAGTCGACAGCATAAGCCTCTCAGAAGAGCACCAGGGAAATACGAGCAGCGACAGATGCTGTGCTGTTTGGGAGCGCATTCGAAAAAAGACTCGAGGGATGCTTCCAGAAGTGCGGAAATGAAAAAACGCGGTCGACCGGATCGCGGCAGGTAGAATTGGCACGTTCTTGGCATCGGAATGGCACTACTACGCTCTCCAGGTTCGAAGGCGGCAATAGCGAGAACCGCTCCGGAGCGTTTGCACTCGCGTCCGAGCAATCACGCTTCTCCCGAATGCCGCTTGCAGCCTCCTGCAGCGGTCTCGTTTTTTCTCGGTCGCCGGGATTCGGCGACTGCCACCGGCTGCTTTTCTACAAGTAGCGGGCTCTTCTGTGCACGTAGGAAAGGCGCGGATTGGAATTGGATTCGTTTAAAAATAAGCAGAATGCACTGCGCCTGGCATGAAGGTTGTCTCCATGACTTTCATTCGAGAGACATTTCGTGGTAGTGAGTTTATCGCTGGCTTCATGTCTGTAATCTGGGACGATAAGAGTCGAAGGTATTACCATCTGTAACGAGGGAAGGGGCATAACGGGGAGCGACAGATGTTGTGCTCTTTGGGAGCACATTCGAAAAAGTCGGGAGCGCTGAAATCTGCTCTACGGAGAAAAAAACACCTTTACGCAGGTCTGAGGAAACAAGCAGAATTCGCAAGTTCTAGTCGTCGGAATGGAACTACTACGCTCTCCAGGTTCGAAAGCGGCAATAGCGAGAACCGCTCTGGAGCGCTTGCACTCGCGTCCGAGCAATCGCGCTTCTCCCCGAATGCCGATTGCAACCTCCAGCAGCGGTCTCCTTTTTTCTCGTTCGCCGGGAATGGGCGACTGCCGCCGGCTTCGTTTCTACAGGAAGCGGGCTCTTCTGTGCACCTACGAAAAGATCTGATTGAAATTCGAATCGTTTAAGAATAAGCAGAATGTTCGAGGCCTGGCATGAAGGTTGCGCCCATGCCTGTCGGTCCAGCCATAATTCGTGATAGTTGTCTTCTCTGTGGCTAAACGACTGCATTATGTGACGACAAGAGTCGACAGCATAAGCCTCTCAGAAGAGCACCAGGGAAATACGAGTAGCGACAGATGCTGTGCTGTTTGGGAGCGCATTCGAAAAAAGACTCGAGGGATGCTTCCAGAAGTGCGGACAGGAAAAAACGCGGTCGACCGGATCGCGGCAGGCAGAATTGGCACGTTCTTGGCATCGGAATGGCACTACTACGCTCTCCAGGTTCGAAGGCGGCAATAGCGAGAACCGCTCCGGAGCGTTTGCACTCGCGTCCGAGAAATCGCGATTCACCCCGAATGCCGCTTGCGACACCCAGCAGCGGTCTCGTTTTTCTCGTTCGCCAGGAAAGGGCGACTGCCGCCGGCTGCTTTTCTCCGAGTAGCGGGCTCTTCTGTGCACGAAGGAAAGGAGCGGATTGGAATTGGATTCGTTTAAAAATAAGCAGAATGCTCTGCTCCTGGCATGAAGGTTGTGTCTTCATGTCTTACGATCGAGAGACATTTCGTGGTAGTGAGTTTATCCCTGGCTTCATGTCTGCAAACTGTGACGATAAGCGTCAGAGGGATAACAATCTGTAAAGAGGGCAGGGGCATAACGTGGAGCGAGAGATGTTGTGCTGTTTGGGAGCGCATTCGAAAAAGTGGGAGCGCTGTAATCTGCTCTGCGGTGAAAAAACACCATCAGGCAGGTCCGATGAAGCAAGCAGAATTCGCACGTTCTTGGCATCTGAACGGCACAACTACGCTCTCCAGGTTCGAAAGCGGCAATAGCGAGAACCGCTCCAAAACGTTTGCACTCGCGTCCGAGCAATAGCTATTCTCCCCGAATGCCGCTTGCAACACCCAGCAGCGGTCTCGTTTTTTCTCGGTCGCCGGGAAAGGGCGACTGCCGCCGGCTGCTTTTCTGCAAGTAGCCCGCTCTTCTGTGCAGGTAGGAAAGGAGCGGATTGCAATACGCTTCGTTTAATATTAATCACAGTGCTCGACGCCAGGCATGCAGATTACGTCCACGCTATCTCTCCAGCGACAATCCGTGGTAGTTGCCTTCTCCGTGGCTAAACGTCTGCATTATGTGACGACAAGAGTCGAAAGGATACGCCTCTCAGAAGAGCACCAGGGAAATACGAGCAGAGACAGATGCTGTGCTGTTTGAACCTGCCATTTAATGATAGCAAAAAGAAAAAAAAAGAAGAGAGACAGAATAAAAGTGTAGCAAATGCTATGGAAGCCAAAAGAAATCAAACCTACCTTTTCTTAAGAGCAGCAGGTGGCTCTGGCTTCCCATCAGCACTGGGCAGAGCTGAGCATGGGGAAAGGAACAACACCCGGTGACAGCAAAGGGAGCACGAGGGACAAGCGACACCAAGCCCCAAAGGACCTGAGCGAGCGTGTGAAACAGGAGACGGCAGGGATCCACGTACCTTGGCGCAGAGCCTCAGGAGCGGACACTGGCATCCACCAGCGGCTGTGCTTTCCTGCTGCATCCAACAAAGTCTTTCTCGCAGTCCTCACGCTGCTTAGAAGAGCAAGCCGTGTCCGGAACCTCGAGCAGAACAGAATGCGACGAGCAAGGAGCTGGGCATCGATCTCAAGGCCAACAAGTCGGTCCCTCCCAAACCTCACTGCTCACCCAACCTCACTGACAGCAGAAGCCCAGGCACACATCTGAGCCCTGCCATTCCCAGCCCTTAAATGAGCTCAGGCTGGGCTCTGGCTCCACCCAGTCCCACCCCCGGCTTCATCGCACCCACCTGTGTCTCCACCCTGCTGCTGCCATCCTGCACCAGCTTGTCCATCATTCCTTCACTCTCTTCTGTAACAGGATGAGGGGGAAGAAAGGAGAGAGAGAGCAAAGAGGAAAAAGGGAATAGGGGACAGCAGAGAAAAAAAAAAAGGGGGGGGATGGGGAAAAAAGGGGAAAAATGGGGTACAGGGACAGAAGAAAGGGGACGTGAGGTGGGGGGGAAGCGGAGCTGGGGATGAAGAAGAGGAAAGGGGAAAAAAGAACAGGGGAATGTGAAGAGAAATAAGGATGGGGGGAGAAAAAGGGGTCCAAGAGTGCAAGAAGAGATGAGGGAAGGCGGGGAAAAGGCGGGATAGCAGGAAGTGCATGAGAAGGACAAAAGGAAAAACGAGGGACGAAAAAAAGGAAAAGGGGGGCAAGGGAGGAAAAAGGGAAAAGTGGGACGAATTAGGAAAACAGGAAAAGAGGGAGGAGGGTGGAATCAGGGCCGTCGCACTCAGCAGCGCTGTCCTGCTGCTGTGCCATTAATTTCTCTGGGATCCTGTACCCGTGGATCGGTGCCACCTGCCTTCGGGAATGGCAAAACTGGAGCCTTAGGGGGGCGACACAGAACCCCAAAAGACCACTCTTCACCAAGGTTTGGATTACAGCCTTATCAGAGGCTATAAGAGGCTGGTGGAGGTGGGACGGCGCTGTCGATAACCAATGAGAGAGTGGCTGGGGCGGGACAGCGATGCCGATGACCAATGAGAGGCACACGGGGGCGGCACAGTGCTGTCGATGACCAATGAGTGGCACACAGGGGCGGGATGCTTCCGCCGATGACCAATAAGACGCTGGCAGGGGCGGAACTGTGCTACGGATGACCAATGAGACGCTGGCAGGGGAGGGACTGTGCCGCCGATGACCAATAAGATGCTGGCAAGGGCGGGACAGCACTGCCGATGACCAATGAGAGACTGGCAAGGGCAGAAAGGCTTTGCCAATGGCCAATAAGACACTGGTGGGGTCGAGACTGCACTGCCGATGACCAATAATACAGTGGCGGAGGCGGGACGGCGTTGCCATTGACAAATGAGAGTCTGGCGCGTATGGGACAGTGCTGCCAATGACCAACGAGAGGCTGGTGAGGGCGGGACGGCGCTTCCACTGACCAATGATAGGCTGGCAGGGGCGGGATGGCGTGGCTGATGATCAATGAGAGGCTCATAACGGTGGGACGGTGCTGCCTGTGGCCAATGAGAGGCTGGTCTGACCAACTGCTCTGCGTAGAGGAGAATCGGAATTGGATTCAGGCACGAGGCCCTGAGACAGAACTGTGCCCTGTAAGGGAAAACCACAGGTGAGAGCCAGGATCAGAAAGCAGCTGCACAGCCACTGCAGGTCGGGAGGTGCTGTGTTTGTACTCAGATCTGCTTATCCTAGCCACTGTAAGAAGAGCAGCTCAAATGATGGTGACATAACGATGGTGACAGTTTTCTTCTTGTCACATTTGGGCTTGCAAAAGGGTGCCAGATTCTAACCTAGCCCAGGATTCTGCTGTCCCCTTGCAGTAAAAGCATATTTCAAAAGACTTGGAGAAGGCCTACACTTGATTCAGGTGTCTGATCAAGATAAAGCTAGTAGAGGAAGACACTCACCTGCTCCATTTGCAATGTCAGGTCTAGATTTGGAGCAGTAGAGGATGTCTGTGTGGTCCATGATGAATTCCACCACGGCCGACTGCGTCTGCAATTCCGTGCAGGCAACTCTCCCGCTGGCGCAGGCAGACTCGTTCAGCAGAAAAGACAGGTTTTAGAAGTCATTCAGCCAAGATCGCTTTCCCAGGACTGAACTGTTGTAGCCCAAAGCTGTCATACGGGGCTCTGGAGACTTCCGCAGTGGGCAACCAGTGATGCCACGATCGCTAAGTTCTTAGCGTGCATGTTGGTGACAGAACTGTTCGCAGCCAGACCAGGCCAAGTTTCTCATCAGCTGCCCTGGAAAACAAGTGAGGCAAATGTCCACCATGCCGTGCTGAGACAAGCAAAGCAAACCTCATTTCATGCTAGTTGTTATTACTGCTACTGATGCTGAAGATGAAGTAGATCCAACTTGACCAAGCGCCACGCTGCAGCACCCAGCCCCAGCACAGCACAGCCACAGCCATCAGCTGCACGTAACGTGCCCCTGTGCCCAGGAACTGACCGCACAAATTAACCCCATGCAGTGTTTCAGCATACCCAAGCATCGCGTTGCTCTGTGAGACAAAGCCTGGAATTGCACTTTGCCCTCTGAAGTGCAGCAGGGCTGAGCTCAGCAGGCTGAGGGCAGCACTGACCTGTAGTGAGGAGCGGGCAGCTGCTGGATGACGTCCCGCATTCTGACCAGCCGCTCCTCCTCTGTAGCGGCAACAACAGAATCCTGGAAAAGTGTAGAAAGGGATTTAGACAGGAAATAGGCAAGATACATGACTTAGGGTCGGTAACCCTGGGCACAGCGAGCTGCTGATCAGCATCCAAGCACATTTTATACCTTCCAATTGGCCACTGGATATCACAGCGGCTCGCAGCTGGTGTCACCAAGTCCGAGGACTCCAAGCAGCGGGCCGCTTTACAGCCAGGTTGGGCAGCTCACCACCTAGCAGTGGGCATTTATCTCAGGTAATAATTCCGTTACCGTTGTAGAAATACTTGGGCAATAGAAAAAACAAACAACGTAGGAATTCTCGCAAGCATCGAGAAAATGGAAATAAACACATCCTGAGGCCAAAAGAAGTGGCGTAGGTAAAATGCAGGACGTGGCAAAAACATGCGAGTAAACCGCATGGGGCAAACGGATATCTCTTTCTTTAAATAAAATATAAAGACTGAATGGCATTATTTCGCTCTCACCTTTCGGAAGTGGCAACAGATCCAAAACGTTTCCACTCGCGTCCGAGCACTCGCGCGTCTCCGCGAATGCCGCTAGCAGCCTCCAGCAGCGGTCTCCTTTTTTCTCTGTTGCAAGGAAAGGGCGACAGCCGCCGGCTGCTTTTCTCCGAGTAGCGGGCTCTTCTGCGCTCGTAGGAAAGGCGCGGATTGGAATTGGATTCGTTTAAAAATAAGCAGAATGCTCTGCGCCTGGAATGAAGGTTGTCTCCATGACTTTCGATAGAGAGACATTTCATGGTAGTGAGTTTAACGCTGGCTTCATGTCTGCAATCTGTGAAGATAAGAGTCGAAGGTATTACCATCTGTAAAGAGGCAGGGGCCTAACGCTAGCAGCCTCCAGCAGCGGTCTCCTTTTTTCTCTGTCGCCAGGAAAGGGCGTCCGAGCTCGCGTCCGAGCAATCACGCTTCTCCCGAATGCCGCTTGCAGCCTCCAGCAGCGGTCTCGTTTTTTCTCGTTCGCCGGGATTCGGCGACTGCCACCGGCTGCTTTTCTACAAGTAGCGGGCTCTTTTGTGCACGTAGCAAAGGAGCGGATTGGAATTGGATTCGTTTAAAAATAGGCAGAATGCTCTGCGCCTAGCATGAAGGTTGTGTCTTCATGACTTTCGTTCGAGAGACCTTTCGTGGTAGTGAGTTTATCGCTGGCTTCAAGTCTGCAAACTGTGACGATAAGCGTCGGAGGGATAACAATCTGTAAAGAGGGAAGGGGCATAACATGGAGCACAGATGTTGCGCTATTTGGGAGCACATTCGAAAAAGTGGGAGCGCTCAAATCTGCTCTGCGGTTTAAAAAACACCTTTACGCAGGTCCGAGGAAACAAGCAGAATTCGCAAGTTCTCGTCGTCGGAATGGCACTACTACGCTCTCCAGGTTCGAATGCGGCAATAGCGAGAACCGCTCCAAAACGTTTGCACTCGCGTCCGAGCAATCGCGCGTCTCCGCGAATGCCGCTTGCATCCTCCAGTAGCTGTTTCCTTTTTTCACGGTCGCCAGGAAAGTGCAACAGCCGCCGGCTGCTTTTCTACAAGTAGCGGGCTCTTCTGTGCTAGTAGGAAAGGAGCGGATTGGAATTCGATTCTTTTAAAAATAAGCAGAACGCTCTGCGCCAGGCATGAAGGTTGTCTCCATGACATTCGTTCGAGAGACATTTCGTGGTAGTGAGTTTAACGCTGGCTTCATGTCTGCAATCTGTGAAGATAAGAGTCGAAGGTATTACCATCTGTAAAGAGGCAGGGGCCTAACGCTAGCAGCCTCCAGCAGCGGTCTCGTTTTTTCTCGGACGCCGGAATTCGGCGACTGCCACCGGCTGCTTTTCTACAAGTAGCGGGCTCTTTTGTGCACGAAGGAAAGGCGCGGATTGGAATTGGATTCGTTTAAAAATAAGCAGAATGCACTGCGCCTGGAATGAAGGTAGTCTCCATGACATTCGTTCGAGAGACATTTCGTGGTAGTGAATTTATCGCTGGCTTCATGTCTGTAATCTGGGACGATAAGAGTCGAAGGTATTACCATCTGTAAAGAGGGAAGGGGCATAACGTGGAGCGAGAGATGTTGTGCTGTTTGGGAGCACATTCGAAAAAGTCGGGAGCGCTGAAATCTGCTCTACGGAGAAAAAAACACCTTTACGCAGGTCCGAGGAAACAAGCAGAATTCGCAAGTTCTCGTCGTCGGAATGGCACTACTACGCTCTCCAGGTTCGAAAGCGGCAATAGAGAGAACCGCTCCGCAGCGCTTGCACTCGCGTCAGAGCAATCGCGCTTCTCCCCGAATGCCGATTGCAACCTCCAGCAGCGGTCTCCTTTTTTCTCGTTCGCCGGGAATGGGCGACTGCCGCCGGCTTCGTTTCTACAAGAAGCGGGCTCTTCTGTGCACGTACGAAAAGATCTGATTGAAATTCGATTCGTTTAAGAATAAGCAGAATGTTCGAGGCCTGGCATGAAGGTTGCGCCCATGCCTGTCGGTCCAGCCATAATTCGTGATAGTTGTCTTCTCTGTGGCTAAACGACTGCATTATGTGACGACAAGAGTCGACAGCATAAGCCTCTCAGAAGAGCACCAGGGAAATACGAGCAGCGACAGATGCTGTGCTGTTTGGGAGCGCATTCGAAAAAAGACTCGAGGGATATTTCCAGAAGTGCGGACAGGAAAAAACGCGGTCGAACGGATCGCGGCAGGCAGAATTGGCACGTTCTTGGCATCGGAATGGCACTACTACCCTCTCCAGGTACGAAGGCGGCAATAGCGAGAACCGCTCCGGAGCGTTTGCACTCGCGTCCGAGCAATCACGCTTCTCCCGAATGCCGCTTGCAGCCTCCAGCAGCGGTCTCGTTTTTTCTCGTTCGCCGGGATTCGGCGACTGCCACCGGCTGCTTTTCTACAAGTAGCGGGCTCTTCTGTGCACGTACGAAAAGACCTGATTGAAATTCGATTCGTTTAAGAATAAGCAGAATGTTCGAGGCCTGGCATGAAGGTTGCGCCCATGCCTGTCGGTCCAGCCATAATTCGTGATAGTTGTCTTCTCCGTGGCTAAACGACTGCATTATGTGACGACAAGAGTCGACAGCATAAGCCTCTCAGAAGAGCACCAGGGAAATACGAGCAGCGACAGATGCTGTGCTGTTTGGGAGCGCATTCGAAAAAAGACTCGAGGGATGCTTCCAGAAGTGCGGAAATGAAAAAACGCGGTCGACCGGATCGCGGCAGGTAGAATTGGCACGTTCTTGGCATCGGAATGGCACTACTACGCTCTCCAGGTTCGAAGGCGGCAATAGCGAGAACCGCTCCGGAGCGTTTGCACTCGCGTCCGAGCAATCACGCTTCTCCCGAATGCCGCTTGCAGCCTCCTGCAGCGGTCTCGTTTTTTCTCGGTCGCCGGGATTCGGCGACTGCCACCGGCTGCTTTTCTACAAGTAGCGGGCTCTTCTGTGCACGTAGGAAAGGCGCGGATTGGAATTGGATTCGTTTAAAAATAAGCAGAATGCACTGCGCCTGGCATGAAGGTTGTCTCCATGACTTTCATTCGAGAGACATTTCGTGGTAGTGAGTTTATCGCTGGCTTCATGTCTGTAATCTGGGACGATAAGAGTCGAAGGTATTACCATCTGTAACGAGGGAAGGGGCATAACGGGGAGCGACAGATGTTGTGCTCTTTGGGAGCACATTCGAAAAAGTCGGGAGCGCTGAAATCTGCTCTACGGAGAAAAAAACACCTTTACGCAGGTCTGAGGAAACAAGCAGAATTCGCAAGTTCTAGTCGTCGGAATGGAACTACTACGCTCTCCAGGTTCGAAAGCGGCAATAGCGAGAACCGCTCTGGAGCGCTTGCACTCGCGTCCGAGCAATCGCGCTTCTCCCCGAATGCCGATTGCAACCTCCAGCAGCGGTCTCCTTTTTTCTCGTTCGCCGGGAATGGGCGACTGCCGCCGGCTTCGTTTCTACAGGAAGCGGGCTCTTCTGTGCACCTACGAAAAGATCTGATTGAAATTCGAATCGTTTAAGAATAAGCAGAATGTTCGAGGCCTGGCATGAAGGTTGCGCCCATGCCTGTCGGTCCAGCCATAATTCGTGATAGTTGTCTTCTCTGTGGCTAAACGACTGCATTATGTGACGACAAGAGTCGACAGCATAAGCCTCTCAGAAGAGCACCAGGGAAATACGAGTAGCGACAGATGCTGTGCTGTTTGGGAGCGCATTCGAAAAAAGACTCGAGGGATGCTTCCAGAAGTGCGGACAGGAAAAAACGCGGTCGACCGGATCGCGGCAGGCAGAATTGGCACGTTCTTGGCATCGGAATGGCACTACTACGCTCTCCAGGTTCGAAGGCGGCAATAGCGAGAACCGCTCCGGAGCGTTTGCACTCGCGTCCGAGAAATCGCGATTCACCCCGAATGCCGCTTGCGACACCCAGCAGCGGTCTCGTTTTTCTCGTTCGCCAGGAAAGGGCGACTGCCGCCGGCTGCTTTTCTCCGAGTAGCGGGCTCTTCTGTGCACGAAGGAAAGGAGCGGATTGGAATTGGATTCGTTTAAAAATAAGCAGAATGCTCTGCTCCTGGCATGAAGGTTGTGTCTTCATGTCTTACGATCGAGAGACATTTCGTGGTAGTGAGTTTATCCCTGGCTTCATGTCTGCAAACTGTGACGATAAGCGTCAGAGGGATAACAATCTGTAAAGAGGGCAGGGGCATAACGTGGAGCGAGAGATGTTGTGCTGTTTGGGAGCGCATTCGAAAAAGTGGGAGCGCTGTAATCTGCTCTGCGGTGAAAAAACACCATCAGGCAGGTCCGATGAAGCAAGCAGAATTCGCACGTTCTTGGCATCTGAACGGCACAACTACGCTCTCCAGGTTCGAAAGCGGCAATAGCGAGAACCGCTCCAAAACGTTTGCACTCGCGTCCGAGCAATAGCTATTCTCCCCGAATGCCGCTTGCAACACCCAGCAGCGGTCTCGTTTTTTCTCGGTCGCCGGGAAAGGGCGACTGCCGCCGGCTGCTTTTCTGCAAGTAGCCCGCTCTTCTGTGCAGGTAGGAAAGGAGCGGATTGCAATACGCTTCGTTTAATATTAATCACAGTGCTCGACGCCAGGCATGCAGATTACGTCCACGCTATCTCTCCAGCGACAATCCGTGGTAGTTGCCTTCTCCGTGGCTAAACGTCTGCATTATGTGACGACAAGAGTCGAAAGGATACGCCTCTCAGAAGAGCACCAGGGAAATACGAGCAGAGACAGATGCTGTGCTGTTTGAACCTGCCATTTAATGATAGCAAAAAGAAAAAAAAAGAAGAGAGACAGAATAAAAGTGTAGCAAATGCTATGGAAGCCAAAAGAAATCAAACCTACCTTTTCTTAAGAGCAGCAGGTGGCTCTGGCTTCCCATCAGCACTGGGCAGAGCTGAGCATGGGGAAAGGAACAACACCCGGTGACAGCAAAGGGAGCACGAGGGACAAGCGACACCAAGCCCCAAAGGACCTGAGCGAGCGTGTGAAACAGGAGACGGCAGGGATCCACGTACCTTGGCGCAGAGCCTCAGGAGCGGACACTGGCATCCACCAGCGGCTGTGCTTTCCTGCTGCATCCAACAAAGTCTTTCTCGCAGTCCTCACGCTGCTTAGAAGAGCAAGCCGTGTCCGGAACCTCGAGCAGAACAGAATGCGACGAGCAAGGAGCTGGGCATCGATCTCAAGGCCAACAAGTCGGTCCCTCCCAAACCTCACTGCTCACCCAACCTCACTGACAGCAGAAGCCCAGGCACACATCTGAGCCCTGCCATTCCCAGCCCTTAAATGAGCTCAGGCTGGGCTCTGGCTCCACCCAGTCCCACCCCCGGCTTCATCGCACCCACCTGTGTCTCCACCCTGCTGCTGCCATCCTGCACCAGCTTGTCCATCATTCCTTCACTCTCTTCTGTAACAGGATGAGGGGGAAGAAAGGAGAGAGAGAGCAAAGAGGAAAAAGGGAATAGGGGACAGCAGAGAAAAAAAAAAAGGGGGGGGATGGGGAAAAAAGGGGAAAAATGGGGTACAGGGACAGAAGAAAGGGGACGTGAGGTGGGGGGGAAGCGGAGCTGGGGATGAAGAAGAGGAAAGGGGAAAAAAGAACAGGGGAATGTGAAGAGAAATAAGGATGGGGGGAGAAAAAGGGGTCCAAGAGTGCAAGAAGAGATGAGGGAAGGCGGGGAAAAGGCGGGATAGCAGGAAGTGCATGAGAAGGACAAAAGGAAAAACGAGGGACGAAAAAAAGGAAAAGGGGGGCAAGGGAGGAAAAAGGGAAAAGTGGGACGAATTAGGAAAACAGGAAAAGAGGGAGGAGGGTGGAATCAGGGCCGTCGCACTCAGCAGCGCTGTCCTGCTGCTGTGCCATTAATTTCTCTGGGATCCTGTACCCGTGGATCGGTGCCACCTGCCTTCGGGAATGGCAAAACTGGAGCCTTAGGGGGGCGACACAGAACCCCAAAAGACCACTCTTCACCAAGGTTTGGATTACAGCCTTATCAGAGGCTATAAGAGGCTGGTGGAGGTGGGACGGCGCTGTCGATAACCAATGAGAGAGTGGCTGGGGCGGGACAGCGATGCCGATGACCAATGAGAGGCACACGGGGGCGGCACAGTGCTGTCGATGACCAATGAGTGGCACACAGGGGCGGGATGCTTCCGCCGATGACCAATAAGACGCTGGCAGGGGCGGAACTGTGCTACGGATGACCAATGAGACGCTGGCAGGGGAGGGACTGTGCCGCCGATGACCAATAAGATGCTGGCAAGGGCGGGACAGCACTGCCGATGACCAATGAGAGACTGGCAAGGGCAGAAAGGCTTTGCCAATGGCCAATAAGACACTGGTGGGGTCGAGACTGCACTGCCGATGACCAATAATACAGTGGCGGAGGCGGGACGGCGTTGCCATTGACAAATGAGAGTCTGGCGCGTATGGGACAGTGCTGCCAATGACCAACGAGAGGCTGGTGAGGGCGGGACGGCGCTTCCACTGACCAATGATAGGCTGGCAGGGGCGGGATGGCGTGGCTGATGATCAATGAGAGGCTCATAACGGTGGGACGGTGCTGCCTGTGGCCAATGAGAGGCTGGTCTGACCAACTGCTCTGCGTAGAGGAGAATCGGAATTGGATTCAGGCACGAGGCCCTGAGACAGAACTGTGCCCTGTAAGGGAAAACCACAGGTGAGAGCCAGGATCAGAAAGCAGCTGCACAGCCACTGCAGGTCGGGAGGTGCTGTGTTTGTACTCAGATCTGCTTATCCTAGCCACTGTAAGAAGAGCAGCTCAAATGATGGTGACATAACGATGGTGACAGTTTTCTTCTTGTCACATTTGGGCTTGCAAAAGGGTGCCAGATTCTAACCTAGCCCAGGATTCTGCTGTCCCCTTGCAGTAAAAGCATATTTCAAAAGACTTGGAGAAGGCCTACACTTGATTCAGGTGTCTGATCAAGATAAAGCTAGTAGAGGAAGACACTCACCTGCTCCATTTGCAATGTCAGGTCTAGATTTGGAGCAGTAGAGGATGTCTGTGTGGTCCATGATGAATTCCACCACGGCCGACTGCGTCTGCAATTCCGTGCAGGCAACTCTCCCGCTGGCGCAGGCAGACTCGTTCAGCAGAAAAGACAGGTTTTAGAAGTCATTCAGCCAAGATCGCTTTCCCAGGACTGAACTGTTGTAGCCCAAAGCTGTCATACGGGGCTCTGGAGACTTCCGCAGTGGGCAACCAGTGATGCCACGATCGCTAAGTTCTTAGCGTGCATGTTGGTGACAGAACTGTTCGCAGCCAGACCAGGCCAAGTTTCTCATCAGCTGCCCTGGAAAACAAGTGAGGCAAATGTCCACCATGCCGTGCTGAGACAAGCAAAGCAAACCTCATTTCATGCTAGTTGTTATTACTGCTACTGATGCTGAAGATGAAGTAGATCCAACTTGACCAAGCGCCACGCTGCAGCACCCAGCCCCAGCACAGCACAGCCACAGCCATCAGCTGCACGTAACGTGCCCCTGTGCCCAGGAACTGACCGCACAAATTAACCCCATGCAGTGTTTCAGCATACCCAAGCATCGCGTTGCTCTGTGAGACAAAGCCTGGAATTGCACTTTGCCCTCTGAAGTGCAGCAGGGCTGAGCTCAGCAGGCTGAGGGCAGCACTGACCTGTAGTGAGGAGCGGGCAGCTGCTGGATGACGTCCCGCATTCTGACCAGCCGCTCCTCCTCTGTAGCGGCAACAACAGAATCCTGGAAAAGTGTAGAAAGGGATTTAGACAGGAAATAGGCAAGATACATGACTTAGGGTCGGTAACCCTGGGCACAGCGAGCTGCTGATCAGCATCCAAGCACATTTTATACCTTCCAATTGGCCACTGGATATCACAGCGGCTCGCAGCTGGTGTCACCAAGTCCGAGGACTCCAAGCAGCGGGCCGCTTTACAGCCAGGTTGGGCAGCTCACCACCTAGCAGTGGGCATTTATCTCAGGTAATAATTCCGTTACCGTTGTAGAAATACTTGGGCAATAGAAAAAACAAACAACGTAGGAATTCTCGCAAGCATCGAGAAAATGGAAATAAACACATCCTGAGGCCAAAAGAAGTGGCGTAGGTAAAATGCAGGACGTGGCAAAAACATGCGAGTAAACCGCATGGGGCAAACGGATATCTCTTTCTTTAAATAAAATATAAAGACTGAATGGCATTATTTCGCTCTCACCTTTCGGAAGTGGCAACAGATCCAAAACGTTTCCACTCGCGTCCGAGCACTCGCGCGTCTCCGCGAATGCCGCTAGCAGCCTCCAGCAGCGGTCTCCTTTTTTCTCTGTTGCAAGGAAAGGGCGACAGCCGCCGGCTGCTTTTCTCCGAGTAGCGGGCTCTTCTGCGCTCGTAGGAAAGGCGCGGATTGGAATTGGATTCGTTTAAAAATAAGCAGAATGCTCTGCGCCTGGAATGAAGGTTGTCTCCATGACTTTCGATAGAGAGACATTTCATGGTAGTGAGTTTAACGCTGGCTTCATGTCTGCAATCTGTGAAGATAAGAGTCGAAGGTATTACCATCTGTAAAGAGGCAGGGGCCTAACGCTAGCAGCCTCCAGCAGCGGTCTCCTTTTTTCTCTGTCGCCAGGAAAGGGCGTCCGAGCTCGCGTCCGAGCAATCACGCTTCTCCCGAATGCCGCTTGCAGCCTCCAGCAGCGGTCTCGTTTTTTCTCGTTCGCCGGGATTCGGCGACTGCCACCGGCTGCTTTTCTACAAGTAGCGGGCTCTTTTGTGCACGTAGCAAAGGAGCGGATTGGAATTGGATTCGTTTAAAAATAGGCAGAATGCTCTGCGCCTAGCATGAAGGTTGTGTCTTCATGACTTTCGTTCGAGAGACCTTTCGTGGTAGTGAGTTTATCGCTGGCTTCAAGTCTGCAAACTGTGACGATAAGCGTCGGAGGGATAACAATCTGTAAAGAGGGAAGGGGCATAACATGGAGCACAGATGTTGCGCTATTTGGGAGCACATTCGAAAAAGTGGGAGCGCTCAAATCTGCTCTGCGGTTTAAAAAACACCTTTACGCAGGTCCGAGGAAACAAGCAGAATTCGCAAGTTCTCGTCGTCGGAATGGCACTACTACGCTCTCCAGGTTCGAATGCGGCAATAGCGAGAACCGCTCCAAAACGTTTGCACTCGCGTCCGAGCAATCGCGCGTCTCCGCGAATGCCGCTTGCATCCTCCAGTAGCTGTTTCCTTTTTTCACGGTCGCCAGGAAAGTGCAACAGCCGCCGGCTGCTTTTCTACAAGTAGCGGGCTCTTCTGTGCTAGTAGGAAAGGAGCGGATTGGAATTCGATTCTTTTAAAAATAAGCAGAACGCTCTGCGCCAGGCATGAAGGTTGTCTCCATGACATTCGTTCGAGAGACATTTCGTGGTAGTGAGTTTAACGCTGGCTTCATGTCTGCAATCTGTGAAGATAAGAGTCGAAGGTATTACCATCTGTAAAGAGGCAGGGGCCTAACGCTAGCAGCCTCCAGCAGCGGTCTCGTTTTTTCTCGGACGCCGGAATTCGGCGACTGCCACCGGCTGCTTTTCTACAAGTAGCGGGCTCTTTTGTGCACGAAGGAAAGGCGCGGATTGGAATTGGATTCGTTTAAAAATAAGCAGAATGCACTGCGCCTGGAATGAAGGTAGTCTCCATGACATTCGTTCGAGAGACATTTCGTGGTAGTGAATTTATCGCTGGCTTCATGTCTGTAATCTGGGACGATAAGAGTCGAAGGTATTACCATCTGTAAAGAGGGAAGGGGCATAACGTGGAGCGAGAGATGTTGTGCTGTTTGGGAGCACATTCGAAAAAGTCGGGAGCGCTGAAATCTGCTCTACGGAGAAAAAAACACCTTTACGCAGGTCCGAGGAAACAAGCAGAATTCGCAAGTTCTCGTCGTCGGAATGGCACTACTACGCTCTCCAGGTTCGAAAGCGGCAATAGAGAGAACCGCTCCGCAGCGCTTGCACTCGCGTCAGAGCAATCGCGCTTCTCCCCGAATGCCGATTGCAACCTCCAGCAGCGGTCTCCTTTTTTCTCGTTCGCCGGGAATGGGCGACTGCCGCCGGCTTCGTTTCTACAAGAAGCGGGCTCTTCTGTGCACGTACGAAAAGATCTGATTGAAATTCGATTCGTTTAAGAATAAGCAGAATGTTCGAGGCCTGGCATGAAGGTTGCGCCCATGCCTGTCGGTCCAGCCATAATTCGTGATAGTTGTCTTCTCTGTGGCTAAACGACTGCATTATGTGACGACAAGAGTCGACAGCATAAGCCTCTCAGAAGAGCACCAGGGAAATACGAGCAGCGACAGATGCTGTGCTGTTTGGGAGCGCATTCGAAAAAAGACTCGAGGGATATTTCCAGAAGTGCGGACAGGAAAAAACGCGGTCGAACGGATCGCGGCAGGCAGAATTGGCACGTTCTTGGCATCGGAATGGCACTACTACCCTCTCCAGGTACGAAGGCGGCAATAGCGAGAACCGCTCCGGAGCGTTTGCACTCGCGTCCGAGCAATCACGCTTCTCCCGAATGCCGCTTGCAGCCTCCAGCAGCGGTCTCGTTTTTTCTCGTTCGCCGGGATTCGGCGACTGCCACCGGCTGCTTTTCTACAAGTAGCGGGCTCTTCTGTGCACGTACGAAAAGACCTGATTGAAATTCGATTCGTTTAAGAATAAGCAGAATGTTCGAGGCCTGGCATGAAGGTTGCGCCCATGCCTGTCGGTCCAGCCATAATTCGTGATAGTTGTCTTCTCCGTGGCTAAACGACTGCATTATGTGACGACAAGAGTCGACAGCATAAGCCTCTCAGAAGAGCACCAGGGAAATACGAGCAGCGACAGATGCTGTGCTGTTTGGGAGCGCATTCGAAAAAAGACTCGAGGGATGCTTCCAGAAGTGCGGAAATGAAAAAACGCGGTCGACCGGATCGCGGCAGGTAGAATTGGCACGTTCTTGGCATCGGAATGGCACTACTACGCTCTCCAGGTTCGAAGGCGGCAATAGCGAGAACCGCTCCGGAGCGTTTGCACTCGCGTCCGAGCAATCACGCTTCTCCCGAATGCCGCTTGCAGCCTCCTGCAGCGGTCTCGTTTTTTCTCGGTCGCCGGGATTCGGCGACTGCCA